TTAAATAAATATATTAAATGATTTGCAAAGATACTAACAGTCGAAGTTCAAAAAAATATTAGCTCTGGTTACTAATTTGTTCTCCAATCCCCCAGGACAATTTTATCCAGTAACGAAGCTCATTCTATTATTTGTAATAAAAGACTACCATTAGTTCTCAGTATATTTTATGTTTCAATTAATTAAATAAATATATTAAACGATTTGCAAAGATGACTTACAGTCAGGATTAAGAAAAGTTATGAGCTCTGGTTAGTAATTTGTTCTTCGATCTCCTAGAACTGTTTAACTTCATCCGGTAGTAAAATACTTAACTGAAATAACTTGCAGATGTACTTACAGTTCAATTTGAAAATAACTTATAAGTTCAGATTTCTAACTTTTCACAAACCACGCAGGACTAGGTACTATCACAATTTTGTTTGATAACAAAGCAGATATCTGAAATTATATTACAATATAATTTCCTTAAGAGGTTATTTATGACATTTAATTATATTAAGAATTAAATTGTTTATATTAATTAAATACATAAAAATTTATTATTATTTATGGCCAGAACATCATAACCCAACATTTCATTCAATCTTATATATTGGTGCCCAGTCCTCTAGTCACTGATTGAACTCAACAAACTGGAGCTTTGTTATTATCATGGACCCATAAGCATTTCTTAATCTATGCGCCTAACGTTTTTTATTTTATAAATATAAAAATATTTTATAATAAAAATATCTAGTGATGCAATTAAAGTTTGCTGTCAAAAATTTTTTACAATTTTATCACCTTTAAAATGTTCCTCTCTCCACTTGTCTTTAAAACCTTACTATAAGCTCATTTCTATATACTTTATATAACTTAATATGAACACAGTTGGAAGGGATCTTACCAATCTTACCAATATGTTTCAAAAATAATAATAATATATATATTTTTAATAGTTATATAACACATTACAATTTCTCTTCAATTTTAAGAAGAGAATATGAACACAGTTGGAAGGGATCTTACCAATCTTACCAATATGTTTCAAAAATAATAATAATATATATATTTTTAATAGTTATATAACACATTACAATTTCTCTTCAATTTTAAGAAGAAATAAACACCCGCTTTGATAATACTTAAGTACTCACCTAAAATAAGTCCTCAAAAAAAGAATTCAGAACATCCACTTATTGTGAAATACACAATATTAATATTGACAGAAATTATTCAAAATTTGGAATTAACTGACATTAATAAATATATTTTCGAGCAAAAAACGAAACGTTCTATTACCGAAAAAATAAATAACTAAATTTAAGCAAAATTAAATGTCTATAATTCAATATAATATAAATAAAATTATTCAAAGGTAACAAGATTAAAATATTCCAATTGTTTAAATGCGCTACGTTTACACTATGGGATTAAGAGTAGATTAAAACAATTATCGACAGTAGGCCATTTTATACCAACTGAGAATTTTAGTTAGTGCCACCATACAAGATATAGTTTATTCTATGTGACATTGTAATGTACTTAACATGAATATAATTATAATGGGTCATACCAATACACACAAAAAAAATTTATACACTATACTTATTTCAAATCAACTGAATAAGGACAGGATAAGGATAGCTGTAAAATATAAAGATCACAGGACTCAGATTTATAAATAATCACTAAAACACTACTTAATTATAATAAAGTCTATACAAGTATTGACTTAGTTTAGAAATACTTACCGAAAATTCCTTCAGAAGTTTCAGGACACTCACTTTTTACGAATTCTTCATACAATAAATATTGCTCTTAAAAAATTTCTAAATTTTGAATTAATTAATATTAATAAATATATGAGAGCAAAAAAAATGAAACGTTGTTCATGAACAAAAAAAAAATAAGTAAATTTTAAAACAACCTTTAAACAATATATATGATATTTTTTCAAAGGTAGGGAGATTAAGAATTCAAATGACTAAACAATTTTAAGTACATACTTATGTACTATGTTTACACTATAAGATTAAGAGCAGATTCAAACGATTATTTAAATTAAAGTTTTAATGCCCTTTATATTATTATGATTAAGGACAAATTAACTTTCTTAAAAAATGTATAATGAGGTAAATGAAGTTTCATGGACTATATTGATGAACATAGACACATAGATTAAAAACTATAATTGAATATACTTAATTGAAAACTTTTTGAATTAATTCACCTTATACTAGATTCACACGACAGTTTCATTTTGTATTGAAAGTAATAATAATTGACAGCTGAAATTACAAACATGACAGCTAAAATTGTAAACCAAACTCTCTTCTGAATCCAGTATTATTTAATTGTCTTGAACTATTTCTTAAGATCGTTCTGATAGGTACGTAAATCGTTAGGGTATTCGTGGGAAATAAATATGAAAGTATGTTAACAAAAAAACATCATTAAAACCTCTCACTGGTTTTCTAAAAGTAGTGGGTAAATTTAAAACTTTATTAATATTAATGTGACGAAAGGTTTCAAGAAAGCTGATGCGAGTAGACCACACATTCAAAAATGATATACCCATATTATCGGTTAGCCAAACTGCAAACCAGACTTCAGACGTAGATATTACAAACTCTTAACCTTAACATTATATTAAATACGCTCTTTAATTAAATTAATGTTTTTTATGTATGTCTATAAATAGATCCATTTAATGGAGGTGGTAAAGAAGTTAACATCACTTACCAGGTAACAAGTCAGTTACCTCAGTTTTGTACTTCCGAACAAAATTGTCTGTTTATAGTATATTATTATAAAATTAATATTAAAACTAATTACCTTTTACTTTCAAATTAAAATAATTAAAAGTATTCATCTATATCACTTTTAAGAGGTTGATAAAATGACATGTTACATATATTATGATTGACTTTGATCTGGATCAGAAGATCAAAGATCTGGATATTTGTTGGGTATTTTTAACTAATTTGCGTGTATATTAGATAGTCGTCTACAAACTTTTGTCTTAAATTTACTGAAGAGGTATTACATCTTCTATTTTTACAAATACTTCTTTAAAATATAAAAATCATATCATAATCGTTATGATGTTTCTAGTCTTTAAAAAAGCTTTTACAATTAATATAAAGATTTGAAAAAAAGTTGTATTTGGTTGCGTATCAAATTACAAGGATATATTTTCGACTGAGATTGTTGTAGTTGAGAGAACTCTAAAATATTCTAAAAATCATTCCAATAGTGAAGACAAATATGTCTTCTGTACTTATAGCTTATCAAAAATTTGTGTTCTTAAAAATATTGGCAACAGCAATGATATTATCTAATAGATTAGATATCGTATGTCAAACATGATATTCAAATAATACACCATCCTTTAAGAGTAATATCTATCTTCATCTTAGAATTGAATACACCTAATTAAAGGTTCCGAAGTACCCATTTATAATTTATATGGAAACTGATTAACATTACTAAATAAAAGTGCCTCTCATCTGCTTTGTCTTTGCCCACCTCATGCACGGCGGCAACTAAATACTTTAGGTTCTCCTTTTTTAAGAATCTCGATCACCTTCAACACGTTCCACTAAACAGTATTTTAAGTTATGCCAAAGGATTCAGTTTTTCCATTATACAGTAGCAAAAAGGACCAATATGTCTAAATGGATCCCCTTCCGGTATAACCTAAACTAACATAATAAACATTGATCAGAGATCTTCATTTTTATTTTATTTCTATAAAACATTGTAATCTATAACAAATTTTTTATACTTAACATATAATCGCCGATCCTAAGGCGTTGATAGGTAGTATTCTAAATTAACACTCAATTTTATTTAAGATTTGAATTCAATATGTCATGACTTAAAATTTGGAAACTCAATATTCCCACCAAATTTTTCCAAATCACTAGGCTTCGTCCAGTCCTGGTGCTATACCCATAAAGCTACCATCTGTTAAAATCTTCTTACTATTGCAAAAATATTCAGTAATAATTAATATATTGTAGCCAATAGAATTTACTAAGCTTTTATTTAAATATTTTAGAACTGATCCTGTAGCGGATATTATTACAACTACAGTATTAGTTCCATTGGATTGTTTTGCTAGCGAATATTATGATTGAAACTAGTACCAGCTTCTATAGTACTGCCATTTTGGCAGTGATCGTATAGCGGACTTGAATCCTATAATGGATATTATTATTATAACAGTACTTACGTATTTGAACTGGTACCCTTGCGGATATCATGATCAAAACTACAGTGCAATTGTTTTGAAGTTGATCCTGTAACATATATTATGATTGCAACTAATAATCATGTTTTAAAAACCGGATATTGAAACGACGGTTCACAGACAGTACTGAAACCATAGTATAGGCGTTTTGGAATTACATCTGTACGATATATTATGATTTGAAAGACAGTACTGGTGTTTTGGAACTAAGCCAGGAATGCTTGCTATGATTGAAATTAATATTGACTATGACTAGAACCATAGTATAAGCGTATTGCAACTAATCTTGTACGTGATATTATAATTTAAAATACCATACTAGAGTTTTGGAACTAATCTAGTAATGCATATTATGATTGGAACTTATATCGAAGTTTTGAAACTGATTCTATAGCTGATATTGAAACCACAGCATACACAAAGTACTGGAACCATAGTATAGTCCTTTTGGAACTGATCCTTTACGAGATATTATTATTAAAAATACTGTTTTAGTTTTATCGAACTAATCTAGTAATGCATATTATGATTGGAACTTATATTGAAGTTTTGAAACTGATTCTATAGCTAATATTGATACCACAGTATACACATAGTACTGGAACCATAGTATAGTCCTTTTGGAACTGATCCTTTACAAGATATTATTATTAAAAATACTATTTTAGTTTTATGGAACTAATCTAGTAATGCATATTATGATTGAAACTTATATCGAAGTTTTGAAACTGATTCTATAGCTGATATTGAAACCACAGTATAACCATAGTACTGGAACTATAGTATAGGCGTTTTGGAACTGATCCTGTACGAGATATTATGATTTGAAAAACACAGTACTGGTATTTTGGAAATAATCTGGGTATGCATATTATGATTGGAACTATGGTAATGGTATATACATTGTATTTTACGATTTTTTATTTTATTTTGTTTTATTTAATATTAAATTTATAATAAATTTTTTTTATTATATTAATTTTTTTTTATTTTATGGTACTTAGTTTTGTTGTAATTTAATTTATTTTTTTTTGTTATTTATATTATTGTTCTCTTTTGGCCTTATTAAAAACTTATAATTTTTGAATTTACTGTGATAATAAAGAACAATCACTCCAATTTAATAATTATACATCAATATCAATAGACGAGTACATCCAGTAAATATTTGCAACAACGACTTTTTTGTTATTGAAATCTTTATTTTGGAAATATTAAAATAATTACATATATACAATAAACAAACTAGTTTTAACAAATTACACACATTTATATCTAAACTCATATGTAGGTGGTCCCATATTATCTCAACGATTATAAAATTCTCTTTCATTTGGACACAAAACATGTTTGCTCTTCATTTCATGTTTATTATGTTTACGCATCTAATTAAACACAGATAAAAGTATCTATTCGCGCTAGTTTTCACTACGCAAAATTAGATTAAAAATAAGTTCCATTATCTTATCACAATTTACTATTCTTATTCTTTTTGAGGAAACGTTCGATTGCCTTCAGATAGATCTCACCATACCGTAAGCTTCGTAATTCTTCAAATTCTACCGCCGCTGCTTTAAGCACAGCCTCTCTATCCGGTACTCTTAACAGTTTCTTAGAGATTCTCAAAGACTCCTTTGGCAATTTAGAATGTTGCAATAATTTGGGCCAAAGTAACTCATTCACTTCATTTCTCTTATAAACACCAGCTACGAAATTAAACTGTAATGCTTCTTGTGCTGTCAACTTCTCTCCAAAAACAAGTACATCTGTTGCTTTGGCACGTCCCAAAATCATTGGAAACAAATATGACGAGCCAAGTTCAGGACAAATTCCGAGTTTCGAGAAAGGTGCTTCAAAATAAGCTGTCTCAGTACAATAAACAATATCACAAAGCCCACAGATTGTGAAACCAGCACCAATACAAGGTCCATTAACAACTGCCACTAATAGTTTCGGGAAAAATACAAATGTCGTCAAAAAAAATCGCAACACCCAATTGGCACCCTTAAAATATTCATGCGGATCGTTGTATCGTTCGATTTGTGAGAGGTCACTGCCCGCACAAAATACATCACCCACTCCAGTCAAAACAACCATTGTTATTGTGTCGGCGCTTTTCGCATAGTGGAGAGCGCGCATAATCTCGTAAAGCGCATGGCGATCGAGTGCATTCCGCACTTGCGGGCGATTGATTGTTATGCAGAGTATGTTTTCACGTTGCTCCAGTATTAGGGTTTTGTATGAAGCTTTCGTAGACGCAGAAAGCGTTGCAACAACTGCCGCCGATTTAGTTGCGCTCATCTTGCCCGTTTATGCTCAACTGTTTACGGACTACGAAAAAATGTCTAGAGCGAGTCTCATGCGACAGACTTATCAATTTATTTTTAGTATTTCGAACTTAAGTTGATTTTATTTTATTTCTCTTGTTTACTCTTGGTTTGTTATAATATTTATTATACAGACGATACGAGCACTATTGAGGAAAGTAAATACGCACATATTTTGGCATATGTACACAGTTCTACTGCTCTATAACTCACCGAATTATTTTATACATAATTAAATATTATCGCAAATGTTTATAATTTGTTTTTCAAACATTTTGTGTACTCTAATAAAAGCAATCATATCAGTTAGAAATAAAAAATTCCACTACCATCGAGTTAGTAGTAACAGGGTATATGTGTGATGATTCCTTGAGAAACAGAATAAATGAAGAATATGATTCTACAAAACAAAAATTCTTAAACCCACATTTATTGATATGTACACTTAATATGAATTCACCTACTAAATTTAATTCTTATCAATTAAGAAATAAGACTCTTCATTTCTATCAATCAAGCAGTCAGTATTTTTTTTTGCGGCATGGAGTGAAATGCCTACGCACTGATCACAATCCGACGCCCCAGAAAGTGAGTGCCCGACTCGCACAGACTAAACCACTGTCCCTCATTCCTAGAGACCTTTGTCCTACCCCAATACTACGTTAGTATTACTTCGAGGTTCTATATTTATCATTTAAGACTTCCATTGATGTGACCTGCGTCCAGACTCCGCTACTGCTGCAGGTGATTAACCTAGCCTTTCGTCTTGAAAGCAGTCAGTATTTAACATAAATCAAATTTTCATAGACATAAGAAAAGCCAAGCATAAGCTAAAAATACAAAAAGTAAATAAAAACTTTTTATCCCAGCTAACAGCACCAAAAACAAGTAAGTAGAAGAACAATTTTACAAAGATTTTTATGAAGCTACAGTCTAAATATTTTTAAAATAATATGCAAAAAAGTGTTTATTTATTATTTTATTTAATATTTCACCAGCTAACAGCACCAAAAACAGCATGTTTTTTCCCACATTTATATATGATATATATCATATAGTTCATAAAAGTTTCAACTTACTAATCCCAAACAATTTATGAGGTCTTACAACGAGTTTAACAAAAATAAACATTTTTAAAGTGTACTACTACAATTTGAATCTGTTATTATCTGTCTTGAATCTCATAGTTTCTAATCTAGGCGTTCCAATTATTTCACCAATTACTTTATTACTAGATAACTAGTCTCTCAAGCTTATTAATATTAATTATTTTTATAAGTGGCTACAGATTGTTTTTAGTACCAATACTGTTATTAAGTCCAATTATAAAATTAAAATTAGTTTCAAGTTTTATGTAAGTGATACGCCCTCTTCTCTACAAAATCTTTTATAATATTTGTAATTACAAAGGTTAATTTTATAGAAAAATAAATCAAAACAAAACATAAGAGTATTTAAACAATAACAAACACCAAGTTGAGGTATAAAGTATTCTTATCTTGAAAACAAAATAGAGATTATATTATAGAAATATGAATATACGAGTATATTCAAAACTTAGATGGTTCTCTCGTATATGATCTACAGCAATCTTAAAAAAATAGAAACTTTTAATTAGTAGTAAAGATAATTTTTATTACACAACCAAAAATCTTGAAATTTAATAAAGTAATTTATATTAAATTAGAAATACCCCCCTCTTAAATGGTTGTAACTGAAACAGATATGAGACCACAATTTGCATTTTGTAAAATATACAAGAGGAATCCTTCACTAAACCAACCAATTTTTTTCATAACAGCAAATGGGGCAAGTTTTGCCAATTCCTAAATATTGATATGTCTGAAGAAGTTAAGACTTCACCTTGAGTAACCCGCACAATAGTAAATGAAATGTTCTTTCTATGTGTCTTTATTTACAATTATTACGATAGTCTCTAATTTTGAAGTCAATGCCAATTATATGTACGTATTTTTATCAAATAATAGGAAGCAATATATACTAACATATTTTAGAAATAATAATAAGAATAAAGACGTTTAATTTTTTTTTTTGCAAAATTTTTTCTAAATAATACAATCTACTACTCTGTTTGTAAGCCAATTAAATCTCTAGTCATATTCTTTGCGACTGTCTGAGTTCTTTTCGGGATTAAAAGAGAATACTGGTGTGGGACCTGCTGTCCCCGTTTGTTCAAATTTCTCCGTCATAGTAGTTTTTATGTCTATGATGAGTAGTAGTATTACTACTCATTAAGAGTAGCAGTATTTCTATCTTTAAAGCATCTTCTGATGAACATTTTATAGCTTTTAGAAAAAACTTTTTCCTTTTAGTAATTTTTCTTTCTTAAACTTAAAAATGTATTAATAAATCGTTAATAACAAATATACCTGAATATCATTAATAATCTTGTAAAAATTTTTCATAAAACCCTACCATGAACTTGTTAAACCTATTTTATCTAGAATTCAACGTGGGTTGAGAAGATAACATGACTTAACAATAATGTAGAATTCGTTTAAATTAGTATGATGACATACCAAAAGGTCCATCTTTCTTCAAGACTCTTCCTAAAATTGGTTTTTTTTAAATAAAGCGAAGCTAAAAAAACTGCAATGCAGAAAGAAATCTTTTAAACTATGCGACAATGTGTCCAAATGTGCCAACCTTCAACCAAAATTTGTTTATCCAATAATACTACCCTCTAACCACTAACACTCTTCAACATATACAAAAATCTATAATCTTCAATTTATCCCTAATTAATTTAATTACCGAAAAACTTATAATATAATCTATACAACTGATCTAATAATTGGACAACTGACTATATATGATGTATTTAATAAAAAATTATTCCATTCTTAAAATGTTTATAAAATTATATTGTATTATAATTATTTATGTACAGAGACCTATAATGAGAAACCATTTTTATACACTTTAAAATACTCGAAAATGAATAATAATTACAAAAAAAAAATATTTACGCTCATTTTTTTATACATTAATGCTGATCTAAGTGCGAGAATTTTTTTCGTAGTTTTTCACGTTTCTCTTTTTTATTGGTGCGCCAGGGCTTGGCAGTGGGTTCCGTTGCTGAAATTGTACCATCGGCTGAGACTCGTATATGTGGAAAATTGCTACGACCTTTAACATAAGCTTGATTGTTATTAGCTGCGAAAAATTGAGTGTCGATGTCCTTTGAAGTTGAACTTTTATCAATCTGTGGGAAAGATAATAGTATCAATTAAAACTGTCAAGTAATATATAAGTCTTAGTTAACATCAATAATACTGTTAATTAATAATTGTTAATGGAAAGTAATGCGATAAAATTTATATAGTAGAAAAAATAAATTTTTTTTTAATTATTACTGTTATTTTATAATTATTATTAATTAATAATTTTGCACTAACTTAATTAAATAACTGATAGTACATTAAGTTCCTCATACCCGCATTGCTCGCTGTTGCTGACTGGGCAGTGCTTTTTCATCAACCTGTTTTCGCTGTCTTTCTGGAAATATATGATATTCATCTTGTGGCACATCAGGTGGAGCAATAGCAAAAAGCAATTTTCCATTTACATAGTCTTTACAAACATAACGAGCTGAGCGTGACTGATCAGGTTGACCATTAGACGTCATAAAGCCTCGATTATCTAAAATTAAATTAATTTTTTAAATTTATATACAATTTCTTTTATAACTAAATGATATTTTCACTTACAGCCATAAGCTAAAAGAAGCTCTTCTGAATGTGGACAACGTGTAGGATCTTCACCTTCCATCGGTTTAGCTATAATAATACCATATTTGTCTTCTAACACATGACGTGGTATACGTGTGCATAATAAATTAACAGCAGGAACGTGATCACGCATCTTTGGAACAATATAGAATAATTTATTACAAATAAAATATTTTAATAAACACATTAGGCATACCTGATCGATTGGTAGTATACCATTTAATATCATATCAGCCTTTGTTAATACAAAACTGGGCATAACCAATCCTGGACAATCGCACAGCAACAAATCCTTGTCTAAATATAATGTTTGAAAATGTTTCGTTTTACCAGGAGTCGCCGAAACGGAAACTTTTTTCTGTGTCATTAGCGCATTTATGGTACTACTCTTTCCTACATTTGGATAACCCACCAAACCGACTGTGGTTACATTTGGCGTACGAGTTGAACCATTGTACACGGTTTTTAAAAACTCTATAAGTTCTAAGCGTGTTAGGACTTTAGGATTATTTCTCAATGTCACGCCATTAGTGGCTTTTTCCGTTTTATCGTCACCATATATTTTTTGCTCAATTTGACTTAACTTTTCTTCACAAACATCAAGTGCTTGATTTATTTCATTTGCTGCAGCCTTAATTTCTTTCATACTTAGTGCATCTTCATCCGTAACAATACCATCTTCTACTTTAACTTTATTTAACTTCTCTGCTTCGGCCGCCAGTTTTAATTCCTCAGCAGCTAACACCGCAGAAAAGAATGCTGTACGTATGCCTTGTTTATCAAAATAATCTGCCCAATATACACGCTGTTGATCTGTTAGTAAATCTGATTTATTCAACAGTATAACATTCATTTTGTTTTCATCCACTTCCTTTACATACTTTTCCAAATCATCACTACGGAACAGCAAGGGATTACGTGCATCTACAATTTGTATCACAACATCGGAACGTTCAACAACGCGCCATAATTGACGCCAAAATTCCAGATTTTTTTCATATGGTGTCATTAACATTTCTTCATCTTCTTCCTGCAATAGAGTTAAATCTCTACGCCAGTTCAGAAAACTTTCATTTTCTGCACGTTCCAATTCTTCAGCAGTGGTGTCTGCGGTCCATTTTGGACGTCGTGGTATTTTTAGTAAATCACGATTATCATCATGTTTTTTTTTAATTATTTGCTGTTGTGTTTTAGATAACAAACCCACACCTTGTTTAGGATTAATGAAAGTTATATTCAGCTTCTCAGCTTGAAATTCTGTGCCAGCCAGTTCAGCTGTACGCAAGAAATCCTGAAATGATGACTCTTCGGTAACGGATGTTAAATTCAAACGACCCCAATCATAACCATCTTGAATTTCTGTTGTGTGTAACTAAAAATTATTAAAATAAATAAAATTTATATATAAGAGATTTTGTTGTGTAAACATGAGCTCACTGAAGCAGCATTACCATTGTGTCATTGTCCACTTTTTTACGATTTGCATGACCAAATCTGTCTTTGATTAAGGATCTACCAAGATTACTGCTTCCTTTACCTTTTTTACTCATGATTTTATTAGTTTAATTTAAATAAATTGCAAACACAGTCAACACGTGCGACTGACTTCAAATAGCAACACAAAAACAAGCAGCATTTGACAAGCAGCTGTTTGACATTTCACAACAGAAGTTGAGCTATGTTCATGGTGCACAACGTTTTTGACAGTTAAAAGTGCTGCCAACTTTAAATTTTTATTTAAACAAAAATTTCATAATAGTGTGAAAATTTTTTAAAAACCTTAATAAATCAAATATTTTAAGTAATATATAAAAAAATATATGTATTAAGTGCAAATTAAGTGAAAAAGTATTGATTACAAACATTGCATGACATATGCATTCAGTTAAAAGGACTTAAATGCTTGCAAATTAACAGCTGAAGCTAAAAGCAAAAAGTTGGTGGCGTCTGTTGTGTTTTTGTAATAAAATCTGATTTCTTTAGCAAAAATAAATGAAATTGTATTACTAATGACTACTTAAAACTACTATATAACAAAACTAATAAAAGAATTATAACATGTAATAATCTTTGTAAACTATTTTATTTATTGATGTATACATAAAAACGGTTGGTACCTGAATAACGGTAGTTTTATCAAAATGGCTACATTCATTGCGCAATTAAGACTTTGTAAGTACTATATTCATAATTTAATATTATTATTGTTTAGAGAATATATATATTACTTGAGAATTAATTGATAATACTAATAAGTTGTAAAACAACAGTTTTGCAAAGCATCAAAAATTACAATGCGTTGATTTAAAAATGTAAAGCCACGCCCACAACTGTGTAGCCACAATCGCCACGAATTGGTTTTTGTGTGCGTAGAAATTTTAATCATTAAAAAGGGACTTAAATA